TTGCATTTGCATTCTGTACTGCTGCATATTTAATCTGTGGCGCAGTTCCTCCTTTTCAAAATATCAGACTTCCAATTTCTGGCTAGTATTTGTAAGTTTGCGACTTAGATCTTCCCTACCTGCAACTTACTTGGTCGTCCGATATATTATCGCCATCTAATTCAGTGCGATCTTCATTGATCCACTGCTGCAATACTCCTTCCTTGATTGTTGATGAATTAGCCAGAAGTTGAATGGAAATAGAAAATTCGGCATTTCTTGTAAATGAATGATAGATTATTTGAGCTCTCTTTTCTCAAATGTTCCCTTAATTTTAAAGTTCTTCCTCAGTAACAAATTGCAGTTTGAATACACGCACGTTTAATGTTTGTGATATTCATTGAGAACAGCAGTACAAACTTTAATTTTAATGTTAAACGATAGATAGAAAGAAAGGCAGTAGAAAGATTAGGCAATTTAATTAAAGCAAATAACCATACATAAATTGCTAGTGAGAAATTGTTAAGTTTAACAGTATTCGTTGTTTGATGAAATCAAAAATTAACACAGGTGGTAAAACATAAGCAATTGCAGTGCAGTGCGTAACCACCCTAAGGAATAGGAGGGGTGGTTTACAATTATAAATCATATTTTGAATGAATACATTTGTTCCTAACAATTTTGTTATTCATTATGGTAACATGACTTTAAAATTAGTAAGGCAATTAACCATGGTGTATTTGAATGGCAAATATATGATTGCCTACATGGAATAACAAGTATAACTGTAGGTCTATGCAGAACTTGGCTACCTTTACATGCTGTAAATTAAGGGACAATATCCCTCTGCTCCAAATTTCCCGACCTTTTTTTAAAAAAATCCAGACAGTGATTTTCAGCAAGAACTATAGCATTAAATTCAAATGGAAAATAGTTTGAAGTATGAAGCGTTGCTTACTTTTTCAGAAATTAATAATATGTCAAATCATGATGTGAAGAAAATTTGATATGGTAAATAGAAAGATTTATTATTTTTTATCTCACAATTGAATTAGAAATATGAGGTATATATAAAAATAATATTTACTCTCATACCTATCTAATTCCCGTTAGAAAACATACTGAAGCGCTGCTTTTTAAACCACAATTACAAATTGTTTTCTGTGCATGTAAAATAACACACATCCATAAACAAGAGTTATCCTTCCATTATCGCCCTTGAAAATATTTTTTTAATGAAACAAAATATTAATTAAATGATTGTAAACAATACTGCATCTGAAATTTCTGTACAATTGAAAGAATTATACTTTAAGAGGTAGAGATTTCTCAATTTACACTGTTTAAAGGAACTGAGTATAAATGTTTTAAGTAAATTATTATAAATCATTAATGTATATACAAGCAATAGAAACTATAAATCACAATTTGTACCTTGGAATAAGTTTGATTGAGTTGACTATGAAATGGTCGGCATGAATGAAACTTGTAAACTCTGACATTGCAATTCACTGAATTTCATGACAAAATGCTAAGGAAAGTTAACTTTCTTATAAGAAGTGTTATCTCTCTTATCAGAGGGATGATCCACCTTATGCTACGTTTACACTATGTTCCCGGCAGCCACGGCAGCCCCGTTTGCCCGAAACGTAGTGCGCCGTGAGATTTTAATTATTTTCCCCTCTATATCCAAGTCTTGACAAGTTCTTTTGCGGTCTTCTACGGAATCCGTGATGGGCCGTAGGAAAAAGTTGCCGTGGAGTGCCAGAGGCTTCACGGCGCACTACGGTTCTGCCACGTATGCCAGCACGTTCCCCCCAGGCCTCTTACGTTCTGATAGGTCCCCTCTCGTATCTCGCGTTCTTATTAAGTTCTTATACGTTTCTCACGTTCTGTCAAGTCTTTCTACGTCTGAAACATGGACGCCGGGAAATTTTGGATCACGTTTGTACCAGAGAAGGTCTCCTAAGCAGAAACAATCATTGTATCGTGACCCTTCGAAGATAAAACATCATGAATTCCCAAGACGAAGATTTTATTTTCGCGTGTTTGATGGGCGCATACCTAAAATCACTTCGTCAAAATGAAGAGAACCAGCAGCAGTTACAGAGAGGGAAGGCAGGAGTGTAGCAACTAGGAATGAGACGAATAAGACGGATGAGAAGGCGGAGATCCATATGGATCCATAATGAAACTTCTCTGCAGTGCCCGGCTCTTATATGCTTCCTCTCAGACTGCGTGCGCCGTGTCAGACCGTAGTAGAACGCAACGCACTGGAACCATAAACCGTAACATGCCGGGACGAACCGCGATTGAACGCGAGGAAACGGCTATCATACACCCTAGTTTGCCGAGAGGACCGTGATGAAACGTGGCAGAACGTGATAAAACGGACACCAACCATGAACTAGCCGTGTCAGAACGTGGTCTAAACTCGGCAAAACCTCTCAAAACGTGAATGGACCGTGAGATGAATGGAAATATACCTTCTCCCGTCCCACTGCGGACTGCCTCTAAGTTCTATTAGGGTCTATTACGTGCTGTCGCGTTTTGTTGCGTTTATTCCGTTTTACTACGACCTACTAAGTTTCACATCTGGAACGTGGCCGCCGTGGCAAATTTTTTGACAGTTTAAAAATCTGACACGTCATCCACGGCACTCGCGATGAGTTACGTTTGCCACTCCCGTTGCCCCAAGTTTTCTCACGCCTGTCCCGTTTTTTCCACGGTGGCCTGAAACGTGATTGCCGTGGCTGCCGGGAACATAGTGTAAACGTAGCATTAACCCTTATCTTCGCAAAACAAACTCTGTGTGTGAATTAACCTATCCAACACACTATCACATATTCAAATGTATGAGTTCTGAATCGTTATCAGAAGTTTAGTAGAGTTTGATGTTTTTCAAAAGCACATGACCTTGTGTTTCGCTCCGTTTATCATTGTATTGATCTAATGCCATTTATAACATACACAATACAGTTAACAAATACACAAATATACAGAATTCTACCACGATTATTAAAAACATGAATGGAAGCCGCCGGACATTATTCTCCAATAAATCACGAACGTCATCAAAATATTATCAGCTCAGAAACATGCACCAAATTAATAAAAATCAAATGCATGTTTGGCTGTAGAATGAAATACTTGTTTAGACCGCATCGAAGTGTCGTCTTCATAAGAAATAAACACTGTAAATTTCATAAAGTTGCTGATAAAGTCGGTTTTAAAGCTAAGCGGGGCTATTCCATGGACCTCCCTACACATTAAACAACGTGATTTTGTCAGTAAAACAGGAACATGATTTTGTTATTGTATATTCGTTTTAACTGATCAATACATATAACGAACAAATTTTTTATTTAAAAAAGGCTATTTTCAATGTTACGAAAGATCAGTTCGTCTGCATTCCTAACACAGGTAAGCAAACAAATTGTACCTCTGGTGTTAAAAAAACAGCGTAATCGAGACATGGTAAACTAATTCGTTTTTCTATAGAGGAAACGATCAGCCGTATTTATCGGTCTTAGTAGAATTGAAATAATGTCCTTGTTGTCGTGAATGATGCAGAATAACCTCCTCATTCTCGAAATGTTGTTTGAAATATAAAAGCCTCGGCTAACGCCTCGGCTTTTATCTTTCAAACAACATTTCTCGACCTCGGAGGTTATTCTGCAACATTCACGAAAACGCGGACTTTATTTCTTAAATAACGAGCACACAAAGCAACAAGTTATTATGTATGTGAGGCGCACACAGCAGTCCCTGACTGCACACAACAAGTCGATAAAGTTCACAAATGTTACCCGTGGGTATTTACACAGAATGGCGTCTTCTTCAAACACAAGCATGACGTCATACGAATACATACACAAAAGAGGTACATCATGGGGATATATACACGGGCTCAGCACAGGTTACATTCAACGAATTGTACTACCATGGTTCTAAATTTTACTTCAGTAGAAAAATTGCAACAAAAATGCTGTTTAATTACCTAAATATCAGATAAAAAAGATTTTTTATACAATTCGGTGCTAAAAACATTATGTCGTTCAACAATTTAAACATATTTTAGAACATGGATATGGATTTAACGAACAATATTCAATCTCAAAGTCAATTTTTGTAATAGCTTTTAATTGATTATCAAATATTAAACAATGTATCTGTTACGCTCTGCAAAAAAGTTCAGAATTGTTAAATTATAGCTAAAATGCATAAATGATGTAAGTTAAGATAAGTTTTAAGCAATTTTAAAAATTCGTTTGGTGATCATATTTTCTTACTAGTAGTTAACCCATGTATCGGTTCTTATATACTTTAGGTATATGAAAAAAATATAATCTTGATGAATTATTAAGCGTTATTTTCTCATAACGAATTTGTCATACTTTTTAAACATTTCCATGTGAAGTGTTTGAAGACCAGACAAATTGCAATAATGTGCGCATGCCCTGATTCTATTCTTGGCATCTTTTACAATTCTCATTTCTTATTTCTGTTAACTCTATTTTGGAGTTTGTTTAGAGTGTTTTTTGTCAGAAGTCGACATGTGGAGAAATACTGTACACTTCATTGATTATATGATCGTTATAATTCATATGTGTAAAATTCATAAATATTGTGATTTTTCAAAAAAATCCTCACAATTTGATTATCAAAATTCTGTTTTGAAATTAAATATCTAATATAAATTTAATCGTAGTTGCCCCATTTTATGTCAAAAAAGGATGTGTAATAAATCAAAAAATCCTCACAATTTATCTATCACCATTCTTTTCTGAAATTAAATATTTAATATAAATTTTATCGTATTTCCCTCAGATTATGTCAAAAATCGGAAAAATCCTGTGTTTCTTCTCCTTGAGGTTCATTTACTTTGTCTCTATTCAAGCCAAAGAAATTAACCGCTTTATTATCCTTAAAGTATTGATTAATTTATTCTATTTATTCTTTTCTATTTAAACAAATTATTGTGGATTTCATTTTGTGAATCTCATTTTCTCTCAAGGGGTCCTGTAAATATGTCAGATTTACAATATCCATTCCTTGCCTTCGCTGTTGAGCAATGTCCAAGAGACAAGACGTCATGGAACGCTTCATCAACATCTCGACGGTGTCTTGATGACGTCAACGGTAGGAGTACATACCATTGTGTCCCTAACCAGCAGAAGTCAGCGTTGTTTGAGTTTTGCTACAACAGACGGATTGGACTGTATGAAAGTGGTATGTTTTTTTTCTAAAAATCAACGTGCTCAGAAAACAGAGACTCAGGCCTATTTATTGAGCAATAACGGTTGAACAGCTTTGCATTTAATCTGCTATTGTAATAGAAGTATTAAACGATATCACATTTAATGCATTATAAAACATATTAAGATTACTTTTCGTTAAATATGTATAATTATAATCTCAGTTAAGAGCTTTAAATTATGCCTATTTTAAATCCAGCGATAGTTTTGATATGAAGCTTACACAGAGGCCAAAAGAAGATGTCATATTTTACCGAACGCCTCATCTCTGGTGGAATTTCATTAAATATAAGATACTTTTCACTTCGGCGAAGAAAGGGCACAAGTTTGCCTATCTGAGATTTTTATACACAAGATGCATCTCGTACTAGTGCACGAAATATGTAAATTTGGTAGAAAGGCAACCTTGTTCTCTATGTTTTCTGAAACAAAACACCGTATAAGTAGAATTTTTAGCGAGGATTTAATGTTCGCATTCTTAGCGAGGGTGCCGAGATGGCTAAAATTGAATATCGCTAAAAATTCATTGCATTTTATTTATTATTACCTCTTTAACGTGCATCTTAAAATAGCTGAATAACATCTCGCTAAAAATAAATTACCAGTTTTTCAGGACAAATCGGTAAATTTGCGTATCACTAAAATTTCCACTTAAACGGTATGCTTTGAAATTGATGAAACTTCCCATACAAATTAATAAAATCGGAAATTGACATATTTTGTGACCTTTGTGTGTCTAATAACATTGAATCAGTTACTTATTCTGTAACAATGATGCCAACATGTTTTCAATAAAAAAAGTTTTGAATCGGTCATAAAGACCTAAACAAGGGCCAAAAGGGGTCTTAACCTCTCTTGTCCTTTGTTTCAATGAAGGACAACTCACTCATAATTAAGAATTAGCGAACTTTGGTGTCATTTATTGAAAATCTTATCAAGAACCATTCGGCCAAAAATGTATACAGTGGCTGGAACGTTATTGTTGACAAACCAATCGTGTAGAATCCTTCGTGCATCGTGCGTGAACGTTCGTGTAACGTGCGAGATCGTGCGTGTAACAGACTCAATCGTTTGCGGTTTTAATCTTGCGTGAACATTGTGAACGTGCGTGTGAATTTCGTTTTGTAAGTTTTTATCGGAATGTTATCTGTGAAACAAGTATTTCGTTTATATTTTATTTTTTTATTGAAACGCAGTTTACATAATTGAATGCAGAACGAACTAACTATTGCTTGTAAACAAGCAATATAATAAGTCGTACAATATTATGTTCTTGTATAGCATGACTTATTGTGATAAACCGTACTAAGACGTTTTACTATATTTTTCTGAAGTTCATTCTTGTTTGCTGCTAATTGTGGTAAGATATTTTTTTTTATATTTTCAAATAATCTAAAAGAAATATTTTTACAAATAAATATATATTTTTCATACTTACAAAAATGTTTAGTCGGCGAATGTAGATGCACGTCACGGACATGATTTTCGGGGTTTTGTTTAACAGTGTTTATCTCTGTAGCTTACTTTTGATTAATTTTCAAAGTAAAACAATAATTTACAATGTCGTTTTTCATGTTTTAGAGATTCAAAAACATTTTGAAGTAATTAAAACATATAGATATAACTTTTTAAGTGAAGTCATTTGATGCTGTCATTGTTTTCCCAATCGTATCCCCCATTCTACATATTATGAAATCCAATTCAATCAAATTTTACGGTCCACCTACTACTATCTTCTGATAGAACAAAAAAAAATCCGTTTTCTTTTGCGGAGAATAATCTAAATAATTATTTATTATCTAAAATAATATTTAAAAAATCTTGCATGTATTTAGTACCAGAAATACCCATTTCCGTTTTTTGTTTTGTTTTTTTTTCAAAGTCGATGAAATGATATATTTATTGATAATTCTTTGAATCTAAAATCAATATAAAGCCGTATTTCGTTTTGGAAATATCGATTCCTAAATAATTTGAACTATTTTGCGTTTGCAACCGTGTAAGATCGTGTAACGTGTAGAATCGTAAAAGGTGAAGGATCGTTCGTGTATCAGATATAATCATGCGTTAATCGTGCGAAATCGTGCATGTAACGTGATCGTTCGTTTAACTTGTCAACAATAACGTTCCAGCCACTGTAAGCTCGCGTGAATCCGATATTACATAGGGTATAATCAAATTTGATCAAATCGTGGACCCCAGAGGTAGGGTGATAGGAAACATCTTTAAAAATCTCTTTTAAAACAACAGAGCCACAATTAGTAGTTGATATGAAAACATCCTTGGTAAAGCTTAAGATATCATGATCCCGGGGTTGGCCCACTTTCTTCATTCTGTACATAGAAGTAATCTTGGATAACGTTGTGTTTCTCAAGTGGCTTGTGTGTACAGATGGAAGCAATGGTTGCAAATGCGTACACTCTCATACATGTACTAGTATTTCTTAAAAACTTTTCTGAGGTAAAAAAATTCAAAATTCGAAGAAAGAGTTTTGTCGAGCGCCATCAGCAGGAAATTTCCGAGAACGAAATTGAACCAGTTTGAAAAGCGTGATCTAAACATTGGTGGTTCTTGGGTTACCATCCGGTGATTATTCCGCCCAAATCAGCAATATCGTAAAACTTTAACATAAGATAACATTGCTAAAATGGAAACGCGTTTAAGGTTATGCATCTATATAACGATTCGTCAATTGACATACATATATCTCGTGATATAACATGAATGTAATTGGTTTTAATTACTTTACTTAAACACGTCCTATTCTCTCTTTAAGGTACCTGTTTATACCTCACTAATTCTGGCTATCTTAACCAAGTAAGCTGCGCAGACTTCACCCATGGTTGTCCCGAAAAACCATATTTCAGCAATGAAATATTCAAACGTATGTATAATTTTGTAGCTTCTTAACTCTTTACAACTTACTGAACTGTTATGCAACATACACTTAATGTCCACATCATAGAAATAGAAATTTACCATTTTCCTGCAAACACCTTTTACGTTTCTATAAAGTTTAGCGTTAATAGTATTCTGACGTTATATTTTAGTACAAAAATAACTTTTCTTATTTCATGAGATTTTTGCGAGTATAAAATAGAAGGAAATTGGCATTAAATTTAAGATTAAATGAATTTTTTAAAGTGCGTGAAAATGCGTGATTGCGGGGAAACGGTGTATGCGTAATTTTGCGTTAGAAATAGGAAATGGTATATGCGTTAAAATGCGTGACTGCAGGGAAGGGGGTTAATCAAGCATTGGGTTTAGAATGTAATAAATTACATTCCATAAAAAATGTAAAGTTATACGTAATAATTATTAATGTAACATTGCATGCATATTTTTTATTTCGAATTCTTAAAGATTGGTTGATTTAAAAAATTAAAATACCATTTGTTGATTTCTTAGATCAGAAATGTTTAGCTATTGACAAACAAAGCCATTGCTACGAAGCAGCAGAGTCGTGTCGGAATAAAACAACAAAGTAAATATTCTTCCCTCCCTCTCTCTCTCTCTCTCTCTCTCTCTCTCTCTCTCTCTCTCTCTCTCTCTCTCTCTTCCTCTCTCTCTCTCTCGTGTGTTATATTTGGAATTCATGGTTTTTCATTACAGTAGCACAGATGAGTTTACCTTAATACCACCAATAACATCAGATTATCTACCGATCTTACTGGGTTTCATGGTACCAATCCTTTTGATTGTCATTCTGTTATATGCCTTATTTATTAAACTTCGATGCAAGATGAATTTAAGGTACGAGGACAATCTGGATCCAGAACAGGATCATCTTCTCCGTAAGTAATTCTGATAAATGAAGTCGCTAAGGTAAATACACCAATATAAATCGTCTTTTTTGCAAGCATATCTACGAAAATTCTTCTCTGTTTAGGAAACATATCTGTTACTTATGTTCTTAGCTGCATAGCTATCCACGGTGTAAAAGAATGTGAACTCCTTTGTGCTACTGGTTAAGAAATACCTTATCAAAATTGTACAAAATTAAAATTATGTTTCGAATGTTTTCATTCTAGTTACAATTTTATGATTTATGCATACAAATTAATGAGAAAAACCTTATTTGAAATAAAATCAAACAAAGAAAGTCGTATTAATGTTTTTTTGTAAAATATGAATTATGATTTTTTTGTTATTAATAGAGAATTTTTTGAATAATGTATCTAGTATATGTACCCGGCACAATTTCTAGTAATCAGTAACTGACGAAATTTTTAAATATTACATTTCTACATATTTATATTTATTAAGCAATCTAAAAAATATCAGAGCAGATGCAATTGAAATATTCTTAATACATTTGTATTTAAAAAAAACGGTTGAATGATAATGTATTTATAAAAATTATCCTGAAAAATAACTTTTAATCCTAATTTATCTGTACTTCTTATGATATTTAGAGAATGGTAATCCAGGTGAAGTATTTATAGAAACTCGAGCCTACCGGAAAGCAAGAGACGTTTTGTTAGAAAAGAAGTATGTTTTTATAAAAGGAAACCCCGGGGATGGTAAAACGGCGATAGCTAAACACCTCTTGAAAGAATTGAAAAAGTCATATAATAAGCATGAGAAGGTTGTCACGGGTCTTAAGGAATTGTGTGGAAAACACGTTCAAACCAAAGATACCGTATTTTTTGTAGATAATCTATTCGGAGAATATGCTTTCAGGAAATCAGAGATAGGACAATGGGAAACAACAATAATGTCTGTAGAAAACGTTTTGTCTGCTGAAATTGACAAGAAAGGAAATCTTTTGGTTGTAACGATCCGCAATGATATGTATTCAAAAGTTGTAAGTGAACTTGAATTTAAAATCGATTTCATTAAGAAAGCTTTGGTTGATATTTCAGATTCGTCAAACAAGTTAACAAGAGAAGAAATGAAACAAATTTATGATCTTTATGTCGACATTCCATTTCAAACAGATGAATTGCACAAGACATTCAGTTGTATACCCCCTTTAGGATTTCCGCAGTCATGTAAATTATTTGGAAATGACAAAATATTACAGAAAAAAGGATTGAATTTCTTTCAAAATCCCACAGAATGTTTAAAAAAGTACGTAAATGGTATGTTCCGTTGCTCGAAACTTCAGTTTTCCGTTCTTGTTTATATTCTAATGAATAATGGCAGTGTGGCAAATTCTTCTCTACGAAATAATAATGTTGATAGGGAGAAAAAAATAAAAGCAATGGAGGTATGTCTCAAAACGAAAGATTCTCCAAAACTTTGGAAGTTTACTCAATGCATCGACGGATTAATTGATTCTTTTTTAGTTGCCGAACAAAATTTTTGCAAGTTTTCACATAGTTGTATTCAAAATGTTGTTAAAAATACACTAATGGAAAACGACATTCCTTTTGTAATTGAGAATTGTCACATGTCATTATTAATTAATCTCCATGTACAGGGAACAGAAGAAATGGAAACGAACCTACAAGCAATTGACCAAAGCTTTTTTGCATATATTTATAATAGAATTATCGAATGTCTTAAATGTAATACAAAGAGTGAACTTTTAAAAATCATATCCTGTTTTCAACTTTGGAAGGACGAGTCATTTTGCATCGGATTTCAAGACTTCATGGATGAAGAAAAATATTTGCTAACTAAAGTGGACGAGAATTATGCATCATTGCTTGTTTATTTTTCAGAAGCAGGGCAAATTAAAATGGTTAAGTTCCTATTGAATATTATAACTGATAACAATCAAAAGTATAAAGCATTAAACCAAGCAACATTGATGAATCATGAAAACATTGTTCAGATTCTTTTGGATAGCGGAATTTCACCCGATGCTAAAATCTGTTTCTGTGCAATACAGAATGGGAACTTGGACATAGTCAAACAATTTATCACTGCGGGCCTTGATCTTTTAGAGATATCCGAGTCTAGGCACCCATTTTACGAAGGATCTGTGTCTTTGTTAGTGGAAGCATGTCTATGGGAAAAATTGGAATTGATTTTCTCTTTACTGAAACAATGTCCTGATCTATGTAATGTGAAAACGTCCATTGAAGAGCCAGCCCCTCATATTCTAGCCTACGCTGGTGCAACCGATGCACTTAAGTTTGTAATTGAAGAGTGCAAATACAATCCATTCCTTAAGACAAAAAAGGGCGTATCAATTCTACATTATGCATGTCTTAACGGGAAATTAGAAACTGCAAAATACATAATCAGTAATTATCCTGATCTATTAAGAGAAGAACATGACCTTATTGATGATGGATCTATTTTACATACGGTAGCTGCTGGAGGAAACGTTGATTTGTTTCAGATTTTAAAAAATAAAACACCCACAATTTCATCTGAGACAGGTCAAACTGTTTAACACATTGCTTGTCAGTACGGCACATTTGAGATGATTAGATTTATTGTTTATCGTTTTCCGAAATTACTGTTTGTCAGAAACTTTTGGGGCGAAAATGCTTTACATAGTACCTGTTTAGAAGGGAATATAGATTTTCTTAAGTTCCTCTTAGAGCAAGGTCTAGATATCAAAAGCACTAGAAATGACGGGAGAACTGTGCTACATTTGTGTTGTATGAACGGTAAGAAAGACATGTGCAAATACTTGGTCAACACTTATCCGTTTTTACTCCATGTCATTGACAATGATGGTGAGAATGTTTTACATGATGCAGCCTGGGGTGGTAACGTTGATCAAGTTATGTTCCTCTTGGGAAAAGGCTTAGATATTAACAACACTACAAATGATGGGAAAACTGTGCTTCATATGTGTTGTATGAACGGAAAGATAGATATATGCATATACTTGGTCAACAAATATCCTTACTTACTCCATGTCACTGATAATGATGGTGGGAATGTCTTACATGCTGCAGCATTGAGTGGTAACGTTGATATTGCTATTTTCCTTTTGGAGAAAGGCTTAGATATTAACACTTCTACAAATGATGGGAAATCTGTGATCCATCTGTGTTGTTTGTATGGTAAGATAAATATGTGCAAATATTTGCTCGAAACTTATTCTGACTTACTTCATGTCACTGATAAAGATGACCATAATCTATTACATGTTGCAGCAAACGGGGGAAACGTTGATCTTGTTATATTTCTTTTAAAAAAAGGCCTAGATATCGAAAACACGAATAATGCAGGGAAAACTGTGCTTCATATGTGTTGTATGAACGGAAACATAGACTTGTGCAAATACTTGGTCAACAATTATCCTGAATTACTATCTGTCACTGACAATGATGGTGAAAATGTCTTACATGATGCAGCCTTGGTTGGTTATGTTGATCTTGCTAAGTTTCTTTTAGAGAAAGGGTTAGATATCAATCGCTCTAGAAATGATGGGAAAACTGTGCTACATCTGTGTTGTATGAACGGCAAGATAGACATATGCAAATACTTTGCTAACTCATATCCTTTCTTACTCGATGTCACTGACAAAATCGGTGAGAATGTTTTACATGATGCAGCCTGGGGTGGTCACGTTGAAATACTTAAGTTCCTCTTAGATATGGACTTAGATATAAATAGCACTAGAAATGACGGGAAAACTGTATTACATCAATGTTGCATGAACAAGAAAGTAGAAATGTACAGGTATTTGGTCAACACGTATCCTAACTTAGTGGATGTCGAAGACAAATATGGCAACAAAGCATTTCTTAATGTAATTTAAAGGTAAAAGTAGCCTCTTCTATTAATGATATTACCGCGCTTCAAAAATAAAAAAAAATATAAAAAAGTCTTAGAGCCTCTGTGGCTGTGAAAGTAATAGACCTCACTTAGATATTTATAAATGCCATGTATTTTAAAGCAAACAATTTTATGCAAGAAATAATGAAAAGATGAAATCGGTTTGCATACTTGCAATGCTAATGTGGTAAAGTTTAAGTTGAAGACGTAGATATCTAATGAAGTGGAGTAAGTTATGAATATTTGATTTAAATGTATCGGATGCTCCTTATCTTTTACTTCACTGTTTCAGTTGATTCGATACGCAAGAGCATGCTCTACGTATGAACAATTTCTTAAATGAGGTAAATTATTGACAAGCAAGTTAATGAAACAAGAATATATGGCAAGCCCTTTTACTATTTATTCGTGAACGAAAAATTTTCTCTCAATAAGAGAGATATCTCTAGCATATAGAGATATCTCTTAAGCTTATAGAGATATCTCTTTGACTAAAAGAGATATCTTTATACCCTAGAGAGATATCTCTTTAAACAAAAGAGATATCTCTTTTTGTGTGAGAGATATCTCTTTTACTTTGAGAGATATCTTTATAAGCTAGAGAGATATCTCTTTAAGCGAGAGAGATATCTCTTAAAGTTAGAGAGATATCTCTTAAACAAGGTTAAAAGAGATATCTTTCTTAGTTAGAGAGATATCTCTTTAGATTTTCAAAAAGAGATATCTTTATAAGCTTAAGAGATATCTCTTTTAATGAAAGAGATATCTCTTTTCTAGTGATGGTTAAAATAGAATAATTAATTCTCCACTTTAAAACGAAATTAAGTGAAACAGGAAGTAAAGTCTCTGGAATAGTTTCGATGTTATAAGAAAAAAGACTGAGCAATTATATATAGCAATAACCCAGAATAGGGTGTTGCTAAAACGCGGAACGGAAAACGGAACGGAAAACGGAACGGAACGGAAAACGGAATGTACTATTTTGGATTAAATCACTTAAAATATACAGATTTTATCATAAACGATCTATCTTTTACTTATTCAATCCCCCACTATTAAAAACAAGTTGATTTTATCATGCTCAGTCTCTTATTTACGAAAATCACTAACATAGCAGTCACCTAGAATCGAATTTGAAAAGGGAGGGTACTCAGTAAACGAAATTGAAAAGTATTTGACAAGCAAAAACACAAAAAGAAGACAATTGTTTGGTCCGGGAAGGGGGGGGGGTAAGACAAAAAGAAAACAATTGTTTGATTCGGGTGGGGGGGATAAGTTCCAACTCCAACATCTTTCAGTACTATTTTTTTTTACACTAACTTTAATACTACCAGGGATCTTTATACTAACTTACTATACATATACATGTAGGCCCCTGATACTACATTAATTCACAAAAAGTGTGAGGATGTCAACTTGTCTGAACATTTCCGTAGTTATTTGGTTTTGAATTGGGGTGGGGGCAAATATTTGATATCTAGATGAACCATGGAAAGAGAAATAAAATATAAAAAAATATTAAGATTACGTTTAGGACAAACCTTAACGGCAAGCTCGAATAAACATCTCTTATACACACTGGTTATTAAAATTTTATTCAAAATAGAGTCGCTTTCTATATATTTAAATTCTGGATGGAAAACTTCAATGTGGTAGATATAATACAAAATCTTTGCATTCAATGAAGTTAAATTTTGTTTGTTTGCGGTACATATGTGTGTATTTTTTTTTTTTTGGGGGGGGGGAGGTTTATATGAATGACCCGTAAACAATGAGTTTTCCCGCTCATCGGAAAGGTCTGAAAAGTTATAATGTAATAGGTATGAACTCTTTTTGTGTCCAAAATATATATAAGGTTTAATAAACCATTTTTTAATGTGGCTTTGTGCTACACAGACCCGAAACTGCCACTCCCCCTTTCATGATTTGCGAATTCGACACTTCGTGCATAATATGAATATCATAACTAATTTTAACAGACATTGACACTGGAAACAAATTGAAAGAGGGGGGGGGGGCAACATACAACAAATTTGACAAGCCAAAATAAGGGGCACAAGTTTGCCCAAACTCGAAAATCCTATTTCGTGGGTGGGGGGGGGGGGGCGAATTTCTTTCAATACCATTTTTTCCACGGAGGGTGAATATATGAATATGAATATATAATAGTTTACAATAAATTTTTATCAGAAATGATTTTTACAACTAGAATATTGCTCTTTAATGTGATTTATATCGAATTTATGTTATTTGTTTGACAAAAATTTTCCGTTTTCAGTTCCGTTCCGCTTTCCGTTCCGTTTTCCGTTCCGCGTTTTAGCAACACCCCCCAGAATAATACATGTACTGTAGACAAAAATGCTATAAATCCTTTACTTAAAACAAATAATAATGGTAGCTTCGTTGACAAAATGCTAAAAGTTTAATATTCAGGAAAACGAAAGTAAGCATATATATAATCTAAAATGCAACGGACCGAATTTTCTCAGCTTATGAAATAATCATCTATTTCTATATTTCCGTCAATAAAAAGCTTACTTCCGGTAAGGGAGAGGTCATTTGAAATGGAAATTAAATAAAAATAATTGAAGAGAGATATCTCTTTGCAACAAAGAGATATCTCTTTTTGCTTGAGAGATATCTCTTTTAGACACTTTCGAAAGATATCTCTTTCTCTTTAAGAGATATCTCTTAAGATAAACGGAGAAAGATATCTCTATTACTTAAAGAGATATCTCTTTAGTAAAAGAGATATCTCCAAAACTAAAAAAGATATCTCTCTAGGTGAAAGAGATATCTCTTTAACGTTTAGAGATATCTCTTTTCACGAAAGAGATATCTCTAAAGGAGAAAGAGATATCTTTCCAAGTGAAAGAGATATCTCTCTAATAAAAAGAGATATCTCTCTGAGTATAAGAGATATCTCTCTAAGTTTAAGAGATATCTCTTTCTCATAGAGATATCTCTTAAAATTGAGAGATATCTCTTTAAGTTGAGAGATATCTTTATTTTTTAAGAGATATCTCCCTAAAATGAGAGATATCTCTGTAATTTTAAGATAAATTTTTATTTTCCGAATAAATAGTAAAAGGGCTTGCCATAAGAATATCAACAGTCTCGTTTAAAGTCATCATTTCGTAAATTCTATGGTCGATACAATGACCTTGTCAGCAAATACAATTTATCATTGAATGAAATGCTGACTGACGTTTTTCATACCAATTGTTAGTCCAGTATTTATACACTGAATTGTCGACAGATTTTTTCCGTTATTTCCTGATTATGACAACCAGCACACGGCGGGTGTGACCGGTCGGCAGGGGATGCTCACTCCTCCATGGCACCTGATCCCACCTCTGATAGTTCGGAAGTCCTTGTTTGCTCTGCTCTTGTTTTGTATGTTGTTTGATGGACGTTGAGATTGAATACTGTTCGTTATTTCCATATCCTTCATTTATTGTAATATTATATCATGATGTATATTGGAAACTACTGATCGTGAATGACAGTAATTTATAGATTTTTATTAAAGCAATTGAAAAAGTTCCATGTTGTAAATAATACTGATGCAAATTTACATAATAATTTTCAAGGGATTATTAAATGAATAAATATTCATAGATATTTTGATATTATTTTCACAATTTTTCGGGCCAATACCTCTTAAACATTTTATTAAAAGTTCAGTCACTAGTGATAACTTTTAGATCGATATATATGAACCTTTAAAACAGATTATATCATAAGTAGAACAGGATCAATTTACATGTATTCATTAAATGTATTTATCTGTATAATTCATGATTATTTGTACAGGCATTTACATTTTCTTTCCTATATATAAATACTAAAATTGCTGTTAATCTAATACATGAGGCCAATATTCTAATATTAGGAATAAAATCAAAATTGGCCGACTATAGTTTTATTGTGTGAAAACTACAATAGCGAAACTCTTCATTTTAATACCAAATGTAACTTACATTAAGTTCAGTGTAAATGCAAAGTTTGTGGGAAATCTACCGTCCAGGGGCCCGTTTTACAAAAGAACTTACGACTAAGACTAAAAACTTCAAATTATTGTAAAATTTGGCAAAATTAATAATTCTCTTTGAAATTGTCTGTGTAAAAGTATCTTGCACATCTTTTTAAAAAGTTTAAAATAATTTTCGATATAATGTTAATTAAAAAGTTATATGATTAATTAAAATTGGTCTTAAGTCGTAAGTCCTTTTGTAAAACGGGCACCAGGTATTTTTGAGGGACCGTCTCAAAGTACAGGTTCGTTTACTATAGGATTTTATAGGAAAATGCCAATTTTTAGCACTTTAAAGCAAATTATACAAATACTACAATAGACATTTTGTTCAAATTATAATATTTGATGATAAATACTATATTATACAATATATGTAAGAAACACAAAATTCTACCGTCTTGTTACCAGAGGGGGCATCTCAAATTACAAAAATTAGCAAATTTTACTATTTTATAGAATATTAAAAAATATGACGCACACAATGGATTCACATCAAAACATAATAAAAAATATTGGAGATATTCTCAAATTTCTATGCTTTAAATTTCAAGAGCGTATGTTTATTACTTTTTCTTTAATAATATTTTTATTACCCCTTTCTTTAAGAGCTACAGATTATCAAAAAAAACATTGCAACGACGTCAACCTACCTATCAATTGCAAAATCGGTTAAAAATTCAGTTATATCAAATTGTAATTACATTTGTATACCAATAATTTCTTAATTTTGTTTAATTTTAATATTTAAGCGAAAAAAGTTGCATTAAAACCGTAAATACGCTTCATTTTACTATGATGCGCGAAATATTGCGCAATGGAAACTATAGTCGGCCCCCTTAAGACTTTATATGCTGATTTTCGGAGTTTCAAGCATCACCATATTTTGAAATAGTCTCCGATATGATTGACTGTTACTGACATCCTTTCCTTTACTTTAGGCAAATAAATAAGATATAAATATATCAATAACAACAAAACCAATAATGTGGTATTTAAAGGCTTTTATCTCTCAGTCGTAACCGATTCATCATTCAATAAATTCTCCTCTCTTTTCCGTAGGCGATGCAAATGATTTCTGAAAATTGACTTACGCACGCATTTCCATTGCTTTAACCAAAATATTTCTAAATAAAGGTGATTTGGAGCTGCAAATGCAACTATGCACTACATCACGTCTCGACTTGTTCCCCTCACGTATCATTAGCATGGAAGACAGTCCTTGGACCGGATGTCCGAAAGTTACCACTCTGCGCTAAGCTAGAGAAAAAACGGTCTTATCATCTGAAAAAAAGGCATTTAAAAATGGCAAAGAATATTTCTTTCGCTGAGATCTCAAGATTCATGAACCTTTTGCATTGTAAAATTCAAGCTGCAATTATAATGTGCTTAGCATTCTAGCCCGCTGAAATTGAATGACCGAGTTGGGGATATTTCAAAAGTCATGTATAATTTTTTAAAGAAAAAAGAAACATTTTTATTAAATTTATGATGCTTTTAAATCATGTTTCACCATAGTGTACGCAATTTTGAAAATCAGTAGATAAATCGAGGATATCTATATTGTGTGAATTGATATTGGCTTTATCCAACGAGTTGAAATGGTGTTTATTTTCGCGAGGCTTGCCGAGCGAATATACACCATTTCAACGGGTTGGATAAAGCTAATATCAATTCACAAAATTAAAGATGATTTATTTATCTCATACGACTTTCGTTTAATAAACCTTTAAGACTTCCCCTCTAAAATTACATCAATGATTTCAAATTCAAATTGATGACGTAAAACTTGATGACGTAGCACCGTTGATGTTGATATGCCTCGAAAGGAAGGAGATCGTCTTCAAAATTTAAAAATTTTGTCATCTGTGTCTTTGAAATCACTATAATGTGACAATTGCTGGGGCTTTACATCAAGCGAACTTCTGAATGAAAGTTGTAAGGACCAAGGGATTGTGAAAATTAACTATTTGTACGATGGCAGTACAAAACGTGCTAGACAAGGCCAGGCTACTTGTAAGTTGTAGATTCAGTGTTGATAAACGGTAAGTTACACCTACATTACTAGGTGGGTATAAGCTTTATGATATAAGAAAGCAGTGTTCAAAATGTTAAAGGAATCTTATAACAGCTACTTAACTGCTAGGCTTTACTTTCTCCGAATACAATTTCAGAGAAGGACGGGGGGAGTTACATCCGTCTTCAAGTAGCCAGTACAGCTCCTGTACCTTGATAAATTAAGACACTTCTTTGACATATACGAGTCTTTTTCTTGCGTTCAAAGACATTATTGCTCTCTATCATTCATTTTATAAGGGAAAAATTGTTACAAATAAAAGTTTCAATAAGATAAAATCTTGAAGCGAGGGATCATGTCAAAACCGGACGCATTATTGATAAGGCATATACCCGTGGATAAAGCTTAGTTTTAATTGACGTGCTGTATCATCTACACGTATGAGATAAAAAAAAATCAAATATGTGTACACTGCTGCTTGTCTCGTTTCCTTTCTGTTTCAGTAACTTTGCATTTCCATTCAATTCTTAATGCTAGAATCAATATACTTGATTAGTCTATTATGATCAATTCCATTACAAAATGATTACAAAATTGTAGTTTATTGTACCATCATCAAAATCCAAATTTTCTTATAAGATTAGTTCATGGAATTAAATTCCCTTTTCCAGTTAAAAAGTCCCGGGATTTGGTACACGAATAATGTACATCCTGAACTTATATTTCATAAGTCAATATTGCGTTCATTATTATTGACTTATATAATTATGTTATGAATATATTCCAAGGTAAAATGTTCAAATAATATATCAAAACTAAACTGTATAGGTTTAAAGATGTGGAATGTTGACAGGATGGGCTCAGACAATTCGCAGTAGAATACGTCCTTCGCTCCGATAAACTCGGTTATTTTTGTTGATCACTTGATATTTTAGTCAGTGTAAATGTATATGACTGAATATAAACATTTATTTAAAATTGGATTCGTACTTTTTTAAAACGATCGAGATTCTATCATCAAATACGAAGGTAATGTACAGTTGTCTAGAACGCATTATTGTTATAATAAATAGCTTAAATAAAATATAAGATAAATCGTAAATTAAATTTAAACACTCTAGAACATGTTACTTAAAACATGATAAGGTAATAAATGCTAAATGTTTGTAACAATTATTTAGTTAAAAAATGAGCCAAGGTATCAGAAGCCTCTATGTATACCTTTAAATTTTGTCTTTCAGAAATTATGTCAAAGTCGTCAAATAAGTATAACACACGCTTGAATGAATATAACTGATATTTAAAACACAATATACTTTTGTTTGTTGAATCGCTACTTTTAAATTGCCGACATTTTACAAACCCGGAAGGTAGAAACCGAGGACATACCAGTATTAGCAGACATTTGAAGGTAAAAGAATTCTCTTTTGCATTTGTTTTCAAAATATGCAATTTTAGAATGATTAAAAATTTGTTTTATGTTTCATATTATCTTTGTATATCTCCTTTTTAATAATGTTATTGGGTTTCCCTATAAATTCTTCCAGCCAATCTTGATTGAAATACCACTGATACGAACGAATAAGAGTAAATAATCAGAGCGAAAGAAGTGTGATGAAATTTTGCAAAGCGATTCATTTTTTAAAAGATATTTTTAATCATTATCCAGGGAAAACGCTTCAATGGAGGCGCAGTCATTTCGTCCTCCTGGTGGAAAGAATCATGATAGAAGGATGAGTTTCTTTAAAACTCCGTCTGATGGTTTAAACCAATATGTCGACAATATGTACTGGCACTCGAATTTACATTTTTCCGTTCTTGTTTATATTTTAATGAACAATGGCATTGTTGAAACGTCTGCTCTACGTGATGTTAATTTTGATAAAAAGAACAAAATCAGGGCATTGAATGTAAATCCTAACGAACAAGATCCTCCTTTATTGAAGAGGTTCACAAAATGCATCTCTGAATTAATGGGTTCATTTTTAGGTGAAGAACATGGAGTGAGCGCGTTTTCAAATCGTTGTATTCAAGATGTTGTAGAGAAAACACTTATGAAATATAATCTTGCTTTCGTAATCCAGCATTGTCACATGTCACTATTAGTCAAACTGAATGTAAAAGGAAACGAAGAAAAAAACAAAAATCAACAGACAACACATAAAAGCCTTTTTGTTCTGATATATGAAAAAATAATTGAAAGTATGAAATTTAAGGCTAATAGTGAATTATTCAAAATAATATCAAGCTTACATTTTTGGAATGAGGCCCAATTTTGCACTGAGTTTCAAAACTTCATGGATAAAGAGCGAAATATTTTCAAAAAGTTGGACGAGAATGACTTATCATTGCTAGTATATTTTGCAGAAGCAGGGTAAATTGGAATGGTCAAATTCCTTTTGACTATTATTACTGATAAAAATCAAAGGTACAATGCATTGAATCAAGCAACGTTGATGAATCAGGTAAATATCGTTCAGATTCTTTTAAATGAAAGAGTCATTCCGGACGCAGTGAGCTGTTTCTGTGCGATACAGAAAAGGAATTTGGACATAGTCAAATAACTTATCATTAGAGGCCTTGATCTACTGGAGTGTTCTGAGTCTCGTCACCACGATTTCAATGGCCGTGTTTCTATTTTAGCTGAATGCTGTTTGTGGGAGAAACTAGAATTAATTGTTTTCCTTTTGGACAGATGTCCTGCCTTACGTCATGTTAAAAATAACAACGGATAGCATACCATTCATTTCCTTGCTTATGCTGGCGCAACAGACGCACTAAAAACACTGTTTAACAAAAATATATGTGACCCTTACCTTAAGTCGTTTAGAGGTGAATCAATACTGCACAGTGCATGCCAGAACGGCAAACTTGAAACTGCGATGTATTTGATGAAACAATATCCCGGTCTATTAAATAAGGAACATGGCTTATATAGAGATGGATCTGTTTTACACATGGCAGCCAGTGGTGGTAACATTGAACTGTTTCAGATTTTGAAAAATCAAACACTCACTGTTTCACTTGAGGAGGGAAAAACTGTAGTACACAGTGCTTGTCAACATGGCCGATTAGAGCTGTGTTGGTTTCTTCTTGAAAGTTATCCCCATTTACTGAAGGTCAGAAACTTTCATGGCGATAATACTTTACATGCTATTGCTTTGGGAGGTAACATACAATTACTGACGTTTCAGTTAGAGCAAGGTTTAGATATCAGAGAAAGAAGCAGTGACGGAAAAACTGTGCTGCATCTATGTTGTATGAAGGGTAAAATAGAAATGTGTAAGTACTTAGTAACCATGCATCTTGAGCTATTGAATATCACTGACAATGATGGTTACAATGTTTTACATGCTGCAGCTTGGGGTGGAAACATCGATCTGTTTAAGGGTCTGCAAGAGAAAGGTTTAGATATCAACGACAGAAGCAATAATGGGAAAACTTCTACATCTGTGCTGTATGAATGGTAAAATAGACATGTGTAGATATTTGATGAACATGTATCGTTATCTAATAGACGCCAGAGACAAACATGGTGAAACTGCCTTACATGATGTTGTTTGGAGTGGTAACATTGATCTGCTTAAGTTTCTCGTAAAAAAAGGATATGATATCAATAGCAGAGGAAATTATGGGAAAATGTAGCACATCTTTGTTGTTGTACAATTGGTGAGATATATTTGTTTGAATTCTTGATCAAAACATATCCTCACTTACAAGATGTCACTGACAATAATGGTTTGAATGCCTTACATGAAGCAGCTTGGAGTGGTAACGTCGATTTGTTTGAGTTTCTAGATCTATTAAAGAAAGGTTTAGATATCAATACTAAAGAAAGAAAAATGGATATACTGTCTTACACCTGTGTTGTTGTATACTTATAGCTTCATGATTTACAAAGAAACACTCGCCAATTTAGAAGTGTCCTTCAGTGAAATAAATATCAGCACAAAGAAAACATGGAAAAACTAGTAAATGTCAAACTGGTAAAAACTGCGGCACCAAGTCCTGTCGCGTTCTGTCATAATGTCACGGGCTGTACACAAGAAAATACGTGCCCCAAAAGCGATGACGTCACATCACAACTAGTGACCCCAAAAAGTATAATAACCGAAATAGTGGTAACAATAATCATTCACTTTGAGTGTAGATAGGGCGAAAGAAAGCTCAAAGTTTTAAAAATGAAAAGAAAAAAAACTCCTCTCAAGATCAATTTATAGAGGAATCAACCCTATCAAGTACTAAAGTAAACTTAAGTTAATTATAGTTTACTAAAGTTAACTATAGTACCGAAAAAAACTTTGAAACTTTGATTGCACTAATTAAAAAGCTTTGAAACTTTTGTTTACTATAGTGACAACTTTGGAACTTTGGTTTACCATTACATGTAATGAAAACTTTGAAACTTTGATTTAATATGGTATGAAAATTGGAACTTTGATTAACTATGGAAAAAAATTGAGACCTTGATGTAATTATGATTTTGATTTCCATTCTTGTATTTTAATACATTAATGTAAAGGTTGTCTCTAATACCGATAAAAAAGCAATACTTATTTAAATCTAATTTCTTTAAATGTAATTCAGATGCAGCGATAGTCTTTTGTATCGAGGAAAAATTATATGCTATGAAATAGCATTTGTGTCATTTAGACAAAAAACCTATATGGACCTAAAAATGGCTAGATAAACCGATTGTGTTGGTTTTTCCTCAGAAATACATACCTTGTCAAGCTGATGAATAAACTTTTCAAACTTTGATAAAGAATTGTAAAGACCTTAAAACTTGCATTTACTTCAGTTAAAACTTCGCAAATTTGATTTACTCATGTAATAATTTTGTAACTTTTATTTACTTTAGTGAAAACTTTGGAATTATGATTTACTATAGTGAAAACTTTGGAATTACGATTTCCTATAGTTTACTATAGTTGAATAGAGTTTTACCATAGTATTTTTTCCTAGGGAAATAATTATACACACACCATGTGCAAGAAGTTTTTGAAGAGAGGCACGCTCTTAGAAGGCGGGTTGTTGAGGCATGTCGGCACTCTTATTTGGAGTCATTATTTCTCGCATGTAGTTCGATTAAGTGACTATCAGCAAAAAGAATCTACTTTTCAGTTGAATACTGACCAATGGTTTTTTTTTTTCATTCTAGTTGCTAGTCAATTATTTAAACAATTCTCTTCGGATATTTTATTTCGCCCATTTATGACAAAGAGCACACAGGTACGATTAAGGTTCCCAGAGAATATTTCAGTGTACTGTGTGCATGCACACCTCTGAACTACAAATGTATGATGTAACAAGTAAAAATAACGTCAAGTCACTGAAAACTTGAGCTGTAATGGTGGCGGGTGTCATAAACTTTACATCGTATTTTAATCTTCCTTTTAAGTTTCAAATAGCTAGTGTAAAATAAACGTGCCTTAATCCTTTTAAAAAAATCCAATATATCCGAATATTTAATTTAGATAAATTTGTTTTCTCTCGTTTAAAAAACAGCGTATTCAAAATATGTTTAAAAATGAACGTATGATATTTGTCCGTTTTTATACACTTCTAAAAGGTGAAAATGACCGTCTCGTAATCAACAAGGTCATTTGATATCGTAGCAAATATATTTCTATATAGCCTAGGGAACTCTCTAAATGAAGTTGTCGTTTTAAGGTACAAAACTTAGAAATAAAACTTAGAATCGACCTTGCAATGCAGTGTTACGTTTAGAACGCATTTAAAGGTATGAGAAGCCTTAATAGTACAACGCACACGTCGGTAGTAACCGGTCGACAGGGAATGTTTTGTTTTCTGTAGTCATTTCATTTAATAGTGATGACAAATTAAACCTGTCTATTCGGTAAGAATTAATTTACCACCGTTGCTCTGAATAATTATATTAAATACCCTATCTATTGATTATCTAATTAAAGAGAACAGTTAAACTAATTTAAAATAATTAAATGTGTGAGTGTTAAATTACACCGTTGGGCGCTATTGTCACAGCCTCACTATATTTGTTATTCCATATAATTATAACAAAAGAGCTGTTGGTGGGTTCATTTGTTTATCTGTATTTCAGTTGTAATAAGAAGGATAACAAGTAACAAAAGGTGACCTGTAAAATAAATGAATACACTAGTACACTAAACACTCACACATTTAAAAGTCCAGGTTGGCATCCATTTTCTCCAATGTCAAAGTTACTCAATACAATGGGTGATTCCAAAAACCTTGGTAATGTCTCCATGTTACAAGGTAATCAATATCCCATCCCTAAATTACCAACATTTAGTGGAACAGATGAGCCACAGAAAGGGGAAGTTAGGTATGAGGTTTGGAAATTTGAAGTAAAGTGCTTACTAAATTCAAATCAGTACCCAGAACATATTCTACTTCAAGCCGTGAGAAATTTTCTGAAAGGTTTAGCTATAAGTATGTTAGTGTCAGTTGGGGATAAAGCTTCTATCCAAGACACTTTGAGAAAATTAGATGGATTTTTTGGCAATGTCGCCTCAGGCGAAACGCTTATGCAGTCATTTTACAATGATTGCCAAAAAGAGGGGGAATCCATTGTTGTATTTGCTTCTAGATTAGGAGACACATTATCAAAAGCGATCAAATTTGGTCATATTGGTAATGAAGCCAGAGATAGGATGTTAAGAAGTAAATTTTGGACCGGGTTAGGTAGTCAACATTTAAAACAAAGTACGAGACATCTGTTTGACTCTATTAAAAATTTTGAATCTTTACTCAGGGAAATTAGGAAGGTGCAAGAGGAGATAACATCACAAAGGAGTACTGGAACAACAAAGTCAGAAAGACAGGCATTTCAACAGGCAGAGAGAGCAGAGACTACTACATCATCAACAGACCTACAGAAAGAAATACAGACAATGGTAAGGACAATGGAAAGGTTAGAACGGAAAATTGACAGTAATGCAAAAAGTTTCCAACAATTGAACAAGAGAGTTTATGAATTAGAAATAATACATACGGATAACAAAGTTTTTATTCAAATAGAGGTTCATCTACAAGAGGTAGATTCAACTACTCAAACAGAGGTTTTGGTCGAGGTCGTGGTCAAAATCAAGGTCAAAATCAGGGTCAGAGCCAAGGTCAAAGCCAAGGTCAGAGTCAGGGTCAAAGTCAATACAAACCATCCCAAGTTGGACAGAATTCAAAATAATACTAACCTCTTCTATTGAAGGGCAGATGGAGGAGGAAAACAAGGTTCAGAAAAGCCCTATTAGAAACACAAACTCTGAATCTAATGACTTGTTATCAAGAATGGTTGGACATCAGAATGAAAGTATCATATTTGTAAATAGTGTAGAAACAAAAGCTTTGATTGATACTGGATCAATGGTCACTTGTATGTCTGAAAGTTTTTACCAATCTTTACAAAACAAACCAGAGTTGCATAATATAGAAGACTTTGAGCTCAAAGTTTATAGTGCAGAAGGCAATTCTTTACCATTTTCAGGATATATAGAAGTTGAATTACAAATTCCTTCTTTGTCTTTGAATCCTTTTTATGTACCAGTTCTAGTCACAAAAGGAACTGAATACAACAGTAAAGTTCCTGTTATTGTAGGTACGAATGTTATAAGGTTGTGTAAAGATTATGCAAACTCAGAACATACAGATGTTCCAGAGGAATGGAAATTAGCATTTGCAAATCTTAGTGTTAACAATGATATTCCTGTAAAGACCACTAACAAGTATTCCATTACAGTAGGTCCTTATGAGGTAAAAACTATCTCAGGGATAGTCAAGTCTTGCAACAGCATGCAGGTAAGTGCCGCCATTACAGAACAAATTGAAAACCAATCAAATAACAACAGTCTTTTAGTATGTCCAAGAGTAGTATCAGTCAAAAATGGTAAGACCTCACGAATTCCAATACGGGTATGTAACATGTCAGCGCGACCAGTCAAAGTGTCACCAAAGTCCCGTATTTGTAAATTAAGTTCTGTAAAAGTAGTAGATGCCTGGGAACCTTCAACATCAAATGATTCTAGAAATAAATCAGAATTAGACTTGTTAGAGTTAGGGGTGAAAATTAATGAAAACAAATTATCCCCTGATCAAGTTGAGATTTGTCACCAATATTTGAACAAATGGAAACATATTTTCTCTACTTCTTTGAAAGATATAGGTAGAACAGACTTAGTGGAGCATGAAATTAACTTATCAGATAATACTCCATTTAAGGAACCCTATAGACGTATACCTCCAGGAATGTATGAAGAGGTAAGACAACACCTTAAAGAAATGTTAGAGGCAGATGCCATAAGAGAGTCAAAAAGTCCATATTGTTCAAATGTTGTACTTGCTAAAAAGTCAGATGGTTCTTTGAGATTTTGCATTGATTTAAGAAAATTAAATAACAAAACCATCAAGGATGCTTACAATCTCCCAAGAGTTGAGGAAACCATAGATACTCTGATTGGTAGTAAGTATTTTA